TAACGAACTTGTTCCTGGTATGAATTATAGCTTTTAGATCTTGAGTCGGTAGGTTGGATGGGTGGACTGTGAGGTGTTGCTGCTGAGCTCAGACCTCAACATTTAGCTTCTTCCTCTGCCTTCTTGTTAACTTTCTTCTAGATGAAGAAGCTTCAACAATGTTTTTCCTAGGTGTAGGTAACCCGATTGGCAGAGCCCAAAGGATTGGGGTAGTGGTTTAAAGGTTGGAATTGAGATGTCTAGCCTCTGGTTTAGTTTCGAACAGAAGAATGAGGGAAGCGGAGTTAGGTGAGCTCGGGTCTCACTTGCGATAGAGAGGAGATGGGATGGGGTGGAGGCTCGACTATAGAGATCAGAAGGTAGCGACGAGAGTTTCAGTTGAGTCTTACGAACAAGAAAGGGGCAGAAGATTGGTGCTGTGGTTTGAGGTTTCAGAAGCTTTCGAGATGTTTTGTGTGTGGAGAAAGGAGTGAAGAAGATAGAATCAAGAGCTTCGATAGCTCTCATTTTTAATAACGATGGGGGGCTGTTGGGATTGAGACAAGCGTAGGACGTCTACAAACTGTGCCGAATGTAGGAGATGGGAAAATGTATTAAGCAGGATTTGAGAGGCTGGGTACAGAATTTGGTAGAGGCAGGTAATGATTTCCCATTCTTTTTTTTATCTGACGTCGAGGTCAACATTTTGATAACTTTATGGATTTAAAAGATGTAACATAGAAAATTTAATATAATATTCTCAACTAGTATTTCATCAAATAATAAATATTTTTAATAAAAATATATGGTGAAAACTAAAAGAACAGTAAGTAAGGATTTAGTGAAGGAAAACAAACTTAAGAACTCCAAGAGATGTTATACGATTTAGTGCGTTAAAGCTTTCCAACCAAGAATTTGATATCGCAAATGAAAAGAGCTCTTGGAATGAAAATCAAAATTTCTCCTTCCAAGATTTAGCATGTAAAGAAGAAAAAGAAGAATGAAATAATTACTAGAGTTCTCTTTTTTATTCAGCCCTTAGATGAAGAGGAAGATGTGTATTTAAAGGAAAGGGTAGGTAAAATCAAATTTGATTAAAACTATTAATCTAATATTAATTTATCAACTAATAATATTATATTTGATTAAAAATTCATTTATATTAAATAGATATAAGTTTCAAATGGCTATAAAAAGGCTAGTCACATGGGAAAGTCAAAAAGTCTTCATACACATTCAAAATAAAACAAAAACGGCTACCCAACAAATTATATTACAATTGAATAATATTTATAAATTCATTATAAATTCAAATGAGTCGTATAACCTATCAATTTTTATCTATAAAATCCAAAAACTTTAATGCAATAAAAATTAAGCCACATTTTCTTCAAAATAATATCATATTCATCAAAATAATAACAGATAACATTTTTAAGTATTTAAAGAGATATTGAATATTCATATAATAACATGATATAGTTTAGATAAAATTAATTATACATCCATAAATTGATGTAAAATAAGTCAATTTAAAATGAATAAATAATAAAAGCTTTACCATATAAGCTTATTATCTTTAATTTCTCTAATTATATATCTTTCTCTATCTGTAAACAATTATGTAATAAATGAAGCTTATAAAATTTATTTAATAAATGAATCTTATAGATTAATATATAATACTTAATCAAATCTCTAAATTCTTCATGGATAATTTCATAAATAATTCCTATGGCTCTTTCAAGGCAATTCATATTCCTAAGATACTAACCTAGCACTCTGATATCACTTTTGTCACGACCCAACCCGGGGGCTCGAATTAATGAGACGGAAACAGACGATCGGATGGTTGATTAAATTTTTATTTGCTAAATCTATCACTAATAAATTTAAATAGCCAACAAATTCTTAAAATTTGAAACAAAGTTAAATATTATAAAAATATTTCTTCTGGTGTGTCGTGCCTACGATATATATTATCTTCTCTTCTACTCATTTTAAGCTTTGAATAATACATATTCATTCATAAATTTAGGCGTGAGACATAAAAGAACTCAATGAATAAATCATGCTTCTAAACTACACTAATCCAAGGAATTTGGAATAATTGCATAATCACTTCAATATAAAAAGTAATTATATTTAATCATTTCAATTTAAGACTTTCAAATTTATACATATATAATAATTTTATTCATATATTTATCATTTTTTTATAAATAATACAACCATCATATGAGCCACAGTCTAAGGCTTCGTTTGATTTGGTTTATGCTTACATAAAATGGAGTTTTAGAAAAGGAGGTTGAGAAAAAGCCGTTCAATAAAATGGCTTTTATTCCAAACAGTTACGATAATTAGTTTCTACTTATTCAGACGGAGAAGGAAAAAAATAAGCCTAATCAAACGAGGCATAAAAATAGTACCAATGAAAGTACTCTTTTTTCATTTACTTTTCTTTTTTCATATCATTTTTTATTTACATGCACGGGTACATTACAACCCCAAATAGTATCATAAGGGTGTGTGCTCTATCTTTTAACATAAACATGCAATCATTTTTATATATTAATTTCATTTATTTATCATTCAAATTTTTTTATTATAAATATGATGAATAATCATGCTAACATAAATCAAATTAATATGATCATTCACAAAAAGAAATATTAAAATTTTAATATCAATTAATTCAATAAAATTAGACTAAAGAAATCAAAGTTATTACTATAATTTAAGAGCATGAGTACTCACCTCAAAATCTTATGACTGGACAATCTACCTTAATTATCACTTCGATGCAGCCAACCTAACACCTATATAAATATATTGTCGTTAAAATTTGAATTAATAATTGATCCTACTATCTAATTAATTAGTTAATTTATTAATTAGAATTGAATTTTTAAAATAATCATTCTCTCTCTATATATATTTTATTTAAATTATTTATTTGTTATTATATTTGAATATTACTTTTTACAATATTTTTATTCATTATTATTAATATGTCAATTATCACTAATCATTGAATTAATTATTTAATTATTATTAATATATCAATTCTCACTAATCATTCAATTAAATATTTAATTATTATTAATTTCTAAAATAAACATTACTTATTTAATTGCCTTCTCGCTCTAATTCGTTAAATAAATATACTTTCATTTTTTTATATGAATTATCTTTAACTAAAAAAACATTAATTTTTCTAAATCAATTTTATAATTTAACATAATATAAATTTAATATATTCCTTATTTAACTTTAAAATCTCATACATGATATAATTATGTTCTCTTTAATTAATATGTAAACAAATACTCAAGAATATAAATACATTATAATTAACTACTAAAATCTTTAATTTTAATATTTTCTAAATTATATTAAAATATAAAACTTAAACTAAACTTCCTTAATAATATCTAAAAATTTAAAATTCGATAATTTCAAATAAACAATTTAACAATTAAGATTTTATTATTGTTATTATCATTTTCCTTTCTAAATTAATTCTTTTAATCTACAATTTAATTTTATAAATATTAAAATAAAATTTCTTACATTTCCAAGCCGCCCACTGATTGTCGCTCGCCCAATTCCTTTTCCTTGCTTTTGCTATCACTCTCTCCATCTCCCTTCCTCTTTCTCTTTATTTCCTTCCCTCTCCTTTTTATTGGTTGCTTCCTTCTAAGTTTCTTTCGTTTAGTTTTCAAACTGGATGAAACAAAATGAAATTATCTGGTAAGAGGAGTCGTTGCTTTTCACTCCCACATGCACTTCCTCCCTTATCTATGCGATCTGAGCTCGTTCATAGCTCCCACGCCCATTCAACCCGCTTGCTTCACTCGCTGGACTTTGCACTCTCAGTCCACTACTTCGCTCGGTGCGGCTTGCTTGATTCGGCATAAAGCCCAGTTCGACTAAACAGGACCAGCTAGTTCTTACATAGAGAGGTAGACCAAGAGAGTGGAGCTTTGGAGGAATAAGCAGCCGACTTAGGGAAGCTATAACTTAAAATGAAAGTTGGAGTATGATTTCCCAATGGCTAAAATAGGTACCAAAAAGCCCTTAGGATGATTCACGTGTCAGAGAAAATATTTCTCTCTTTGATGAAAGAAAATAGTCATGGGGAGATAATAGAAGAATCAGTGCAAATCCAATACTATTTTAGTAACCTACACATTGGCGCTTGTGACACTAAAAGGTGTTGGCCAAGACCATCAAGAGTTGATAAGGCGAGGAGTATCTAAGGTAAGTTTCATGATAAGGAACTACACAAATAGATTTGAGTTGGGATCAGCCAACCTAAGAATGACTTTCAATAAAGGTAATGTGTCCACCAATGTCAACCAAAATAACTAACAACTAGGAACAAGTTCTTAGGAAAAATCATCAACAAGGAAATAATTCGACCAAAGCGAGTTCTTGGGATGAGCCATTGAGAAGGAAAGAAGTTGGCCAAGGATGACCTACACATATCTTGACATTTCATATATATATCAACATCCATTCATTTAGTAAAATCTTCAATACAATATTTCAAGCACAAGGGAGAGTAAATTTAAAATATGATATCTTTATATCTCAGCTTTGGCCTTTTTTTTTTTTCCTTCTAAATTCTCTATGCTCATCCGGACTCGCCTTATATGATCAAAAGAGGTTCAACTAAGACCCTTATAATCATCCTAAGAAAAATTATCTAAGATTAAGTTCTACTCATTACTTCTTGCATTTCCATGTAGTTAATTGTCTCAAACATAAGTTTTCTTCTATCAAATTATTTTGAATCCATTATTATGTTATTTTGTAAAAAAAATAAATATATTAAACACATAATAAAATTCAAACTTTTTTTATATTTCAATCAATAATATAAAAACGAATTAAGAAAATACAAATACAAATAGAAGAAAAGGACACCAAATGGCTTCTTGACAAATGAGCTATCCTTTACGAGCCATAAAACTGATATTCATTTTGTGCATTTTTAAAATACTTAACCATTATAATAAGATTGACATATAGCATCAACAGGTCCATTAATCTTTCAAAATGGCCTCATACAAATGTTGCATCCCATTCTACAATTATATAAACCATTATAACTTTTCCTATATCGATGAAACAATATTGATATTAGTAATCTTAAGATTAAACAGACACGCTGACAAGAAGAAAAATTGAGAACACTTCTATGACACCAAATGAAAGGAACCTCTATATTTGCTCTGTCTTCTGTTGTATATGCATTGGCAAGTCAGTGATTGAAATATTATATTCTGTCGGAGTAACTATCATGAAGCTACGGCTTCCTCAATAGGCTGATCGAGAATCTGACGAATAAGTTTTTCTGGCAATTTCCCTGTGGCCTGAAATCGCATATAAATTAAAAAATGGAAGGTGAAGATTTGGCGAGGATATTAAATAATATATTCATGCAGAAATGAACATTTTTTTTCTTTTACTTTGAACAAAGTTGGAACGGAATATAAGGCAATAGAGGTTCAAAAAAAAAAAATCCTGCTTCATGCCCAGGAAATGTATTAGTATGTTTTAACTAGGGAAAGCAAACCAATCATTTAAGAACCAATCAATTAGCTCAAGTTATAATATGAATAATAAAAAAAAGTTATAATATAATTATATAAACTGATATAATAAAAATAGCTTTTATAATACAGGGACAAAATTATGTACATCAATCTCTTCGCAAATTTTGCATTGGAGAGAGCAGCATTGCATTGAGTATGGCAATTTTTTTTAATATATCAGTAAGTTTGATGAGTAAAATTATTAAGCATGAATGTGAAGATGGCTAACCTGAAAATGCCGCATATGCAAGATTGGTTCACATCCAACTTCTGCAATTGATCTTCCAAGTGGGGTAGTAGAATTGAATCTTTTAGCACGGTAAACGGAAGGACTATTATTCTTTTCGGATAGTTGTTGGCAAACTTGCAGCAGAGCTCCAAGGGAGTTCATCTGCATAACCAAAAGCAAGCGATAAACTAAATAAAAAAGAGAAAATTATGTCAAAATACGAAAATTAATATCCAGCTATCAATGGGTCTTTTGCAAAATTTCAATAAGACATTTTGAACTAGCAATAATAACGAAGCACCTCTTAACCATATTATTTTGATGCACTCAAATTCAATATAAGTGAATAGTTGTCTATTATTAATTTTATTTTATCTATGTTTGCGTTTCCATATATTCAATACAACATTACTGTATCCAGATAAGGGTGATAAATATCAGTAGAAACTACTGTTAAACCCCGGGATTTTGAGTCACTTCAAAATCAACTCAAACCATTTCAAATGGAGTCACAAGAATGAAGGCTTGAACGAATTTTTTAGTCAATTTAACCTAGGGCGGATCAAATTTTGAATTCAAATGAACTAGAATTATATGTGATATCAAATTATGTGGTATTCAATTTTGAATCATTTCAAGCCAACTTGAATTTTAATTAGAATGGAATCGAGTTAACTCAAATTATGTGTTATTCTAGTCAAAATAATGAGTTAGCTCAAAATCAATTTAGGTCAATTCAAAATGCAATTCAGGTTTTAGTCATGTTGAACTAAATTTTTTTTGAGTTCAAGCTAAAAATCAAACTCACATGAACTCAACTAGTTTTTTTTTTTTTTTCATTCTAATCACACAATCAAAGTCAACATTTATATCATTATCTACATCCATACAAAAAAAAAGAAAAATTAAACCATTTGGAAATTTTTATAACACCAATATTTCATCAAAATAATCTATCAACCGATGTTCCATCACAAAAGGAATGTTGCGCTACGGCACGAACCCTGCTTTCACAAGCTTAAGTTCTCATTTTCCTTGAGGTAGACTGGAATTTAAATTAATTAGATTTCCCCTGATGAATGGCATCAGAGTTTTTCGTTCTAAGGTTCCACTTCATATGAGCGAAGCCCTCATAGTTAATTACCTCTCCAAATGCGTAGAAGAGAAATCTCGATTAAGGATGAATCGATTTTTAGATGTGCAACAGTTTTGAGTTTTTGGTTGTGGGGGATGGAAACCCGATTGAGATCAAAAGGTTCCATCGTCCCGGATATACCGTTGGTTTCAGCCTACCAACACTAACAACTTTTGATTGTAGTATCTATGAAATCTGATCAAGGATCTCGAGTAAACTGAAGTGGATATGTGTGGGCTTTAATTTTATTATGGTTTGGGTTGGGACTTGCGGATCTGCTTAAGAGTTGCCCGTAGTTTAGATTTAGGTTAGGTCTTATGATCTCGTTTGGGAGTTTCTTGTACTTAAGACTTAGGTTAGATCTTATGGTCCCGTTTAGGAATTGTCTGTAGTTTAAATTTATACTGGGTCTTACTGCTCCGTTTAGAAGTTGCTCGTATGTTAAGATTTTAGTCAGAACTTATGGCTTTCATTGAAAGTAACTCGTATAGCAGGTCTTACGACCTCTATTAGAGGTGGTCTATATGTGGGTTAAAAATGGGCCTTACTGCTTCACTTTGGGAGTAGCCTAATGGTTTTGGGTACTTGCCCTTTGTGTCCAATCAACTAGATCATATCTACAGCTGAGGGCTTCGGGGGCAATATCAACCCCGGAATTCCTCTAATTAGCGATCACGACATCTTCCTTAATAATAATAATAATAATAATAATGATATCAATACTAATAATAATAATTATTAATTTATAGTGAATAATAATAATAATGAATCATTTCTCTTCCTCACTGTTTCGATCACTTATAGAAATAGGGCTAATTGGGTGATCAAGCTTAAGGAGGCAGAATCGAATGAAAGTTTCATGCAAATAGGGCGGTGGAACACCTTTTGCGTGTGAAGGCACGGACGAAATGTACGCTATTCATGTAGGGAGGAACAGATGAAGGCCAGATCAGTCGGCTTTGCGTGGGGTGGAACGCATAGTTGATGCTGTTCGGTCTCAGAAGACTGCGGCTAGGTCAGTTCCTGCAGAGTGTCTTCGAGTTGTGATGAAGTCGAGTATGGAACAGGCGTCGGGGTCAGATGCAAGTGAGGGAGGCTGAAATAAAAGGAGGGTGTGGACGGCTAGGTTGGGTTGTTCAAATGGATACCGGAGTCGGATCATGTTGTTTATTCGTGCCGGAATTCGGAGGCAGGGCATCGTTGTTCGTGTGTGTATGGGAGCCAGAAATCGAAGTGAAATTCCTAGATTGCAAGAACGGGAGAGCCGAGAATTCCAATTGCAAGTGAGCGTACTCCTATTTTTTCTTTTGTTTCCTTTTACGTGAATTGAAGTCGAAGCGGAAGTTACCTCATGAACATGGGGCAACGTGGTTCGTGTGGTTTTTGGCTTTGTCGACGTGGGCTGTGATTAGTTAGAGGTCAAAAAATTATCTCCCACTGAACTTGTTGTGTGAATTTCACACAATGAATTCATTATAGTACCCACCAATGGTTTTAATATTCATTTTACCTCGATCTTTTAAATTGATTAATATAGCTCAACCTTGGGTTTACGAGCATGAATTTTGAAGTTCTGTCTTTAGACTTGTTCAACTTATATTTAGTTTTCAACCCGTTAGGTATGTTGATGGAAATAGCTCGACCCTTAGGCTTATGAGCAACAAGATTTGTAAGGTTCGATGAACCTAAATTTAGTTCCAACCATTTAGGTTGATGAAAATAACTTGACCTTTAGATTTATGAGCATGAAATATTTGATTTGAATACTACCATAGGTAGATTGTTTAGTTAATTATCAATTTCGCATGTATGTATATATATATATATATATATATATATATAAGAAGTGGTTGTCTCGATCTTTTGAGAGATCACCTGCAATACTTTGAAAAAGAATTCGTTGTATTCTTCAGCATAAAAGAATATTTGTATTGATAATTTTAAATATTTATTTGGGGATCTCAACATGAAGCGTGATGTCGATCCGAATAAATATTTAAAATGCCCCCTGTCTCGCAGGGATATTTTAGAATGGAATAAATTTGGAATATAAGATTTTAAATATTCATTTGGGGATCTCGGCGTATAGCACGATGTCGACCCAAATGAATATTTAAAATGCCCCCTGTCTCGTAGGGACATTTTGGATAGAGTTTTTGTCTTTAAGATTTTAAATATTTATTTGGGGATCTCGGCACACAGCGCGATGTCGACCCAAATAAATATTTAAAATGCCCCCAGTCTGATGGGGGATTTTGAAATGCGTTCTTGCTATACAAGAGAATTTTAAAATATAAGCAAACATGCATTGATAAATATGCATATAAAATTTTGATAATTGCAAAGTACATTAGTCATGAAATTTTCATGCATGATACTTCTTTAAATGTCGACCGTTGATAGGTTGCATAGGCCTCTGACCGTTCAGATCGATCAACTGATAAGCTCCTCCTTGGTACACTTTCTCGATGACGAAGGGGCCTTCCCAATTGGATACGAATTTGTCACCGATTTTTCGGTGTGGGATGATTGACCTTCTCAGCACCATGACCAATTCCTCTTCTTGAAATGTTCGAGGATGCACCATACGATCGAAGGATTTTGTCATTCTTCCTTGGTAGATTTTCAAGTTTTGTTGAGCTTGTAACCTGAGTTCATCAAGTGCGTCGAGCTCTTCAATTCTGAGGCGGGCTTTGCTCTTGAGTGAGATCATTCTGAATTGCTACTCGGAGTGACGGTAGTTCGATCTCCAATGGTAATACGGCTTCAACACCGAACACCAATGAATAAGGAGTTGCTTTAGTTGGTGTTTTGTAGGTTGTACGATATGCCTATAGTGCTTCTGCCATTTTTGTATGCCACTCTCTTTTGTTCTTGGTAAGGATCTTCTTCAACAGTTTCACAAGTGTCTTGTTAAAGGCATCCGCCAAGCCATTTGCCCTTGGATTGTATATGGATGAATATCGCCAATCGATTTTGTGTCGATCAACGAACTTATAGATTTTTATACTTTTGAAAGTAGTACCGTTGTCCGAGATTATGCGGCGTGACACACCAAATCTGTAGACGACATTGTGGGTAAAGAAATTGATCACATGCTTGGATGTGACCTCTCTTAATGGAGCTGCTTCTGCCCACTTGGAGAAGTAGTCCTTGCTGCCAGAATGACAAACGGTTGCCCGCTGATGACGGCGGATCTATTGGCCCGATTATATTAGTGCCCCAGCATTCGAATGGCCAGGATGTTATTGTTGGGTGCAGTGGATTTGGAGTCTGATGTATAACATCACCATGAATCTGACATTCGTGGCACCTCTTTGCGTGGTCAATACAATCTCTGACCATTGTCGGCCAATAATAACCCATTCTTTTGATTTTAGCGGCCATCTTAGGACCTGACTGATGTGCTCCACAAAGCCCTTCATAGACTTCTGTTACTACTTTGTCAGCTTCTTTGGTCCCTAGGCACCTCAGCCACATTTGATCAAAGGCTCGTTTGTACAACGTGTTATTGACAAATGCATATCGCAACGCCCTTTTTCGAATTTGTGCGGCCATAGACTTTTCTGTCGGGAGTTTGTTTTCCTTGAAGTAGTCAATGAATGGCTGCCTCCAATCATTTTTTTACTTCAATATCTAAACAATGCCACCACGATTCTGAAGCTTGACTAGCTTTACGTCTCTTTGCCCACATGTACTCTTCTGAAAATTCTCCATGGCAATCTAATGGAGAGGTTGAGGGTCAACTGGAGTTTCATCCTGCTGACTTGAATCTGGAATTCCTTCTGCCCTCGGAATTGTAATAGAGCGGGCTCAAGACCCTACGAGTGTAAATCCGATGAATATAGGACTCTCCTCATTGATGTTCACCATTTCTTTGGCTAATTTGGCCAGACAATCTGCTTTAGCATTCTGTCCTCGAGGAACTCAAGCCATTTTGACATTTGGCAATTGCTTCAAAAGCTCAAGGGCTCGCCGGTGATAGTGGGCCAATTCGACTTTGCCAACTTTATAAATACCGATGACC